TTCCGAGGAAATTAACAGAGAAAGATTGTTCCAGTTTAGTGGAGAAGATTAAAGCAAAGCTTGGACTTTGGTCCAACAGATGGTTGAGTTATGCAACCAGGTTGCAACTGGTGAAGTCAGTCTTGTTTAGCACTGCTAATTACTGGTGTAGGCAACTTATTCTGCCTACTGCTGTGATTAAAAGGGTGAACCAGCTTTGTGCAAGATTTTTCTAGAAGGGGGTGACATTTCAGCTAAGGGTTCTGTTACTAGTTAAAGAATTTTTCATGGCAGAAGGCTCTCTTTGGGTTGCCTGAGTGAGGTTATATGTCTTTAAAGGAGATGATTTCTGGTCTGTTGTAAGAAAGCCTTCCTTTAGCTAGAGTATACGAAAAATTCTGAAGTTAAGGGAGGAAGTGCAACCTCTGTTTTCGGGGATCATGAACTGGGACAAGGTTATAACTCGTTGGTTATGGTAGGAGATCAGGGGGAGGAAAGAGAAGGTGGAATGGCACAAGGTTGTCTGGTTTCCTATGCACATTCCTAAACACTCACTCATAGCCTGGATGGCTATCCTTGACAGATTGCCTATTGTTGATAGACTTGCTCAAATGGGGATTGGGGTGGATGATAAATGCAGGCTGTGTGGAGTTGAGGCTAAGACTCGCATCCATATCTTTTTTGGATTTCCCTTCTCAAAGGCTGTTTGGGAGGTGATCATCCGGTTATGTAATGTTGACAGAATGGTGGGGAGTTGGGACGAGGAACTGAGTTGGGCTATCTCTCGGTTTAAAGGCAAAACTTTCCTTGTGTTTTATATTTAGAATAGCTTGGTGTGCAAATGTATACTGTATATGGGAGGAAAGAAATCATAGGCAGTTTAAGGGTATTAGTAGAGATGTTGATAGTGTGGTTAGCTGTATTAAAGAAATTGTTAGGCTGAAGTCAATTCGATTAGTCATTAAGAGTAGTGTTAGCAACAGAAATCTTTGTATAGCTTGGGGGATTAGCATATCCTAGGAGGCTGGTGCTTGTTTTAATTTTATAAGGCTTGTATTGGTTGTAGCAGTGAGTTTTCTACTGCTTCTTGGATAATAATATGAGAAACTTATCCAAAAAAGAGTATAAAATATTTCTTATTGTTATCATCATCATCATTTTGTAAAAGAAATACTAGTTATAAAACTTTTATAAAATTATTCATATTTTAAATTACTTACCCTCAAAGTTTTCCTATACTAGATTATACGTATTGTGTAATCTCATGCAAAAATAAAAATTTGTAGAGTTATAAAATAATTTGCAAAATAAGATTTAAATATTTTAATGTAGATTTTTTTTACATAAATCAAAAAATTAAAAAAGTTGACGTTTTTACATAAAAATCACCCTAACAAAAAATATTTATATATTACGCACTATTTTAAAAACATTTACAAAATTAGCACTTAATTTTTACATGGTGGCATAAGGCGCATTGCATGGGCCACGCCTTACCCTACGTAGCACCACATCAGCGTAAGGCGCGGTGCATGAGCCGTTCCTTTCTGCAAAGGGTGTTAGATCGGGAAATATATCTGAAAGTGTCTCTGACAGGTAAATATATAAAGAAAATGTGATTTTTGAGGAAAATCACCTCTATTTCACTTTTGTACTTTCAATTTTTTTTAATTTATATATTAAAATTTTTTAATCGTTTAACCGTTTTTTCTCTAACAGCTGTATGATATGCCTTATTTTGGTTTCGGTGATTCATTATTTCTAAAGAATGTTATATCAAGTCCTAATTTTAACTCTTTTATTTGTTTTTCCTATCATTAACTAAAGTTATATATATTATGTTGTATGTAACACCTCAACCCGTACCCGACCCAGATACAAGTCCGAGGTGTCACATTGACTTTTCAAAACTTGTCTCTTGCATAAAATCATGAAAATCTAACTTTCATTAAATAAAATTCGTTATTTTACATAAAATTTAAAATGATTTGTATTTCAAAACTTATCAGAAAATATTCAATACAACTCTTTTAGTACATGCCAACTAAATAAAACCAAATCCATATAACTCATAAATTCTTTTTTGATATGAACTTCGTAAATGAGTGGCTGACCTATCTTGCTCCTCTTCTTGCTGCTCGGAATCCTACGTGTGAAACATTCACACGCTAAGTCTATGACTTAGTGAGGCATAGATAAACTTAAATATAACATATTATCACTCATTCCTACTATGCACACTTCATGTAATCATATATATAATCTTATTAATCAATCATCACACACATCATCACATAACTCATATTATGCATTTCACATAATGAACATATGCATACATATACATCATCATATCATCTACATCATCACATCATCTACATTTATATACTATTACTTATAGAGTTCATAACACTTCTCAAGTATTTACTCATAACATATCATATAAATTCAATTTATTTACTTATAATCCAATATATCAATCCATCATAAACTATGACATTAACTCATGTAACATATGCAATATATTCAACCCATACTCATATCCAACTACACAATTATATAAAAATCATATTACTTCTTATTTATATTATATCTTTATTGGCCCATGTACACTGTGGAGAACTAAAGATATGTGAGTCTATTGAGGTTGTGCACTAATGCTGTCACCACAACTCGTATAAATTCCCATTAGGGGCACTAAATGTTTGTCCTGAAGGACCACTATGTCCCGAAGGACCACTGTAAATCCCTCGACTCTTGGCATGCCAACTATACATCTAGCTCTCAATTTCTATACATGGGAATAATCATTTATTTTTATCACATATTCACAAGTACACATTGATCACTTGCATATCATATGACTTTGTATCGCATATATCGAATCATTTCTTATGAAATCACTTGTGGCATGTAGCACATATAACTCATATACTTTCTTATATGCTCATATAGCTCATATCACTTAATCTCTTATGATCATATAATCACTACACTTATTTTCATATATCTTAGATTTACATATACACATAATTCACTTTCACATAATTCACATATTCATATCTCATAAATTTTTGACTTCTTATCACATAGTTTCTTATCACATATCTCTTATGATCTTTTCATATGATTTCATAGTTTATAATTATTCACTTATGTCTTCTCATAAACGCATGCTCTTATCCCTTCTTGTCATATTGTTCACACTACAATATTTCACATTCATTATATCATGTAGCTTTTATCACATATTAATATAGACACTTAACATTTCAGTCATACTCACATCTTTCATGTTCATACATTCTCTTATACTCATATCATATATCTTATAATAATGATTATATTATAACTGATATCATTATTCTCATTTAATCATATAGATCATTCACATTAGTTCATATGGCTTATCACACTACATGTATTCACATAAATTATATCACATACCATAACATATATCATAAATACTAAGATCAAACACATGCATATAATCATAAACTCATGCATTCTAATATAAGAACTAGACTTGTCACAAGTCTTAGTTCTATTAAACTTCGTATAATAACTAATAAACACTCACTTGGCCTCACTAATCAATACTGATCTCTTATCATTCCTCAATCGATCTTTCTTGCCCAATGTTCTGGAACTTTTCTAGGCTCGATATCTACATAAATATAAGATTTAAGGCAATTATCAGATGCCTAAACCTTTTAATTTAATATTGATAGCTTAAACGAATTTAATGAACCATAATTCACTTTTTTTCCTTAGGGGTGTACCGATGCACTATGGGTGCATCGGTACACAAAATAGCTTCAAAATTACCATGCATTGATGCATTCCAGTGTGCATCGATGCATATTCAAAATTGTTCTTAGTGCATCGGTACACATTCATAATGCATCGATGCACCTTCCTAGAATAGACTATTTTTACCCGAAATTTATCAACAATTCACCCAATTTTCCTATATTAAGCCCTAATTATGCTACCAAACTTAACTATAATCACTTTAACCAACGTCTATAATTTTAACACCTTATTTTCTTCCATATATTTCCCAAATCCTTAAAACCAAGAATCTTACCACATTTTCCATGATATCCAAACTTAATTCTTACTCTTATAACTTCTTATTCTCATAGATGACAAGTCAAATTCAACTTCCAAATTCATTTAAACCTTCTATTTCAATAATTCACTTAAAACACCTTTTACTTAATCTCTCATAACTTCTTCATTCTTTGTTTTTGAGATGGCTTAAGCTTTCCTTAAGCTTAAGTATCACCTATGAATCAAACTCTTCTCTTAAAATCAACAAATAATCAAACAACCAGAAAACTTACCTTTGCTTTAGTGCTTCCCGGTGGAGAAGAAGAAAACTGGAGAAGAGAAGTCTAGAAACTCTTGTTTCCTACACATGCCCCACGTGGGTATATAAAAATATCCTCAACCAATATTTAATTAATTTCCTTATCAAAAGACCTATTTTCCCATTGACCTTTCCTTCATTTGCCAACTCATCCCTTAAAATATTTTAATTAAACCCTTGAAATTGTTAACTTATTTCAAAATTGAGCATTAAGTTTTCAAAATTTACATTTAAGTCACTGACCCATCTTTTGGGATGTTTTTTTGGATAAATTGAATTTTATTACCCAAAGAAGCAGAGAGTCTGCTACAAATCAAATAAAAGTGTATAGCTACAATCCGATCCAATAATATACCGAAAACCAGTCCAAAAACGAATACCGAAAAACTGGATCCGATAAAAACTCAAACTGAGTCGATAAATGGCGTGCCCACGCCATAACTGAATATTTCTTCTGCGAAAGATGTGGGTGAATAAGTTCCCACACCTTAAGTAGAGATTCTTTTGCAGTAGCTTGGGATGGATAAGTCGTGCCCACGCCTTAACTGAAGACTTCTTCTGCGTTAGCTCCGGATGAATAAGCCGTGCCCAAGCCTTAACTGAAGACTTCTTATGCGTTAACTCTGGATGAATAAGCCGTGCCCACGCCTTATGCGAACGTCTCTTCTGGTATTGCCCAAGAATTACATAGGAAAGTATTAACCCTATCAAACATGTTGATCTTTTTCCCCCTCAGTTTAATACCTACAAATTCTTTGATGCAAATAAAAAGATCATCAGTAGATCTTGATCTTCCTTGAAAGATTCTTCGATTACGCTCCTCCCACAAAACGTAGATTTTAGCACACCAAGCAAGTTTTAAAATAGTGGAAATAAGAGACTTTCCTTTCCAAGAATTGCATGCCCAAACAATCATGTCCTCCCAAGAAGAAATGGATTTCTTTAACCCATTGTGTTGTAAAATGATCTCCCATAAATTAGAAGCCGTGGGACATTCAAAGAACAAATGAGACCGAGTTTCCAGTGCATCATTACAAAGGACACAGTCCCCAGTAGTGATAATCCCCATTCGTTGAAGTCGATCACGAGTTGGAAGTCGATCTAGAATTGCCATCCATGCAATTATGCTGAGTTTAGGAATATGGAGTGGGAACTAGATCAAGGTATTCCATGAAACTTTATTCGCATTCATCCTAATTTCCTACCAAATATCTCTTATGGTGATGGTTCTATTCGTGATTGCTGGTAAAGCTTCTGATCTAAGTTTATGGATTCTGTTGAAATTCCAGCTGTAATTAGGAGCCCCTTCAATGTGCCAGAAGTTTTTCTCCTTTAACACGTATGTTTTGATCCAAGCAACCCATAGCGACCCCTCTACTGAAAGGATATTCTTTATGAGTTTTATTATGCAAGCTCGATTCCAGGATTTTAAGTTCTTCAGTCCAAGACCTCCCTCAGATTTGAGTTGGCATATTTTCTCCCAACTGACTCGTGTGCCTGTAGTAGCCTTATCGGTTCCTTTCCAGAAGAATCGAGAGTTGAGTTGCTCGATCTTGTTGATAACAGATTGAGGAAGAAGAAGCTGTCTGCACCAGTAGTTTGCATTGCTGAACAAGACGGCTCTAATTAGCTTCAGTCTACCAGTAAAACTCAGAAATTTACCAGACCATAGATTAAGTCGTGACTTAATGTTTTCAATAAGATTATCACAATCTTTCTCAGAGATTTTCCTAGTAATTAATGGAACTCCTAGGTAGCGAACAGACAAACTTCCAAGATTGAAACCAGTAAAATGTTTGATTGTCTCGACAGTTCTAGTAGAAGTACCAGCAGTAAAGAAAACACATTTTGCAGTATTAAGATTCAAACCTGACATTTCATAGAATTGATCAAGGACAGAGATAACTCCTGCAACAGACTCCACATTACCCTTACAAAATATCAATAAATCATCAGTAAATGATAAGTGGGTAAGCCCTATTTTCTTGTATTTAGGATGCTAATTAAACAATCCTCTAGTGGCAGCCAAGTTGAGTAGTCTGGAAAGGACATTCATAGATAAAACAAAGAGAATTGGTGAGAGAGGGTCTCCTTGCCTTATGCCTCTTGCTCCCTTAAAGAATCCAATCAAGCTTCCATTGAAAGATATTGAGAATCTTGCTTCAGTGAAGCAAGCTTCAATCCAGCCAATGAATCTGTGAGAAAGGTCTAATGCTTTCAGAACAGCAGTAATAAAACTCCAATGAAGGGTGTCAAATGCTTTTTGAAGGTCAATTTTCATTGTGCATCTTGGAGAGATTGTTTTCCTTCCATAGCCTTTAACCACTTCCTGAGCAAGGAGGGTGTTATCATCGATGCTCCTTCCCTTAATAAACGCAGTTTGGTTAAGTGAAACCATTCCTGGGATAAGGCTTGTCAGTCTTTTTACTAGAATCTTAGTAATGGTCTTATAAATGACTGAGCAACAAGAGATTGGTTTGAAATCTTTTACTTTGCAAGGGTTGGTAACTTTGGGAATCAAAGCAAGTGTAGTTGCATTGAATGCAGGGAGAAGTGAGGATTTTTGAAAAAAATATTTAACAGCAGCCACCACATCCTCTCCAACAATGGACCATGAATGTTTAAAAAAGTGGGGTGAGAATCCATCAGGTCCAGGAGCCTTATCATTGCCTTGGCCAAAGATTGCTTCCTTGATTTCTTCAGCAGTAACTTCTTTTACAAGACTAGAGGAAAATTCTTGTGGCAGTGAATAGTTCAATAGTTCTTTCAAAAGCTTCTGATTAGTGTATTTGACCCTTGGATCAGCTGTCCCTATCAGACCAGTAAAGAAAGTAAGCACTTTCGCAAACATGGCATCAAAGGATTCAAGTCTGGTACCTTGGTCATCAACAAGCATTCGAATAGTTTCCTTTTTATTTTTAACAGCTATAGTCGAATGGAAGAATTTAGAGAATTTATCCCCATCTTTGATCCACCGAACTTTAGCTTTTTTCTTCATGAAAATTAGCTCTGCTTCTTGAAGGATGTCTAATTCTTGTTGAATTTGCAACTCCTTATCGAAAGTTTCTTCCCCTTTTAAAGAGAGAATTTGTTGTTGTTCAAGCTGAAGCCTCTTTTGTTTAACTCGAGTGGAGATATCACTGTAGCAAGAGTTGTTTAAATTTTTCAGGACTGATTTGAGGTGCTTAAGTTTCAGGAATAGGATCTTCATAGGATTTCCATGGATTGTTATTTGCCAAGATTGTTCAACCTCTTTCAAGAATTTAGGATGGAGAGTCCAGAAGTTGAAAAATTTGAAAGGCTTGGGACGGTTTATGGGAGTGTCTTTAGAAAGCCAAGCAATAGCCATACAGTGTCTTTAGAAAGCCAAGCAAGGTAAGTTCCAGCTTGTTTGTTGCTCCAAGTAAAGAAATGACCAATAAAGGGATGGTCATGAAGATCAAGATCTTGTACGGTGTCTTGAAATTCTTTCATTTCAGTGGTGGATCCAGGATAAAAAAGCTCATAGTCAGAGCTTTCATTCGGTTGCAGAGTAATATTGAAGTCACCTCCCAGCATCTAAGGAAGGTGACCTACTTTTCTTTCCAAATCATGCATCTGCTGCCATAACTGTCTAAGGATGGTGCCATCGTTACTTCCATAGACGGTTGAGATAACAAAAGGAGTTCCAAGAAACAATCCTTTAACTGATAAGATCTGATCTGAAGCATGAATAATAGTTAAATCCAAGTTTTTTTCCACAGTACCCAAATTCATCCATTAACAGCAAACTCATAGTTGAAACTGACATTCCAGTTAGATAGTTTAGAATCAATGATGTCCTTGGATTTTTCAATTTTGACTCTAGTCTCTAACAAGCATAAGATGTCAACATTGTTCTGGGATGCCCTACGGAGCACCTTATTTTGCTTTAGAGGATTATTAAATCCTCTAACGTTCTAGAAGCAAATGATCATTGGGAAGGATTTCCCAAGGAGGTGCATTCACCCCCAACTAAAGAACTTTTAGAATTTTCCAGCTTGTCCTTCTTTTTCTGCTTGAGATCTTTAACTAATTCAGCTACTCCCATTGAAGCAATTCGAGTTTTCCTTTGGTGGCCATCAATGTTAGGAGAGATTTCATCTACTGCATTTAGAACCTCGAACCTATTCTTTGAGCCAGCTAGAATAGCTTTATCTTTTAGAGGTCTACCTCTACCTCGTTTAGGGGCATTTGACTAGACTTTACCAACTTCGGTTAATTCAGAAGTGTCTATAGGTTTAATCTGATTAATATCTTCATGATCGATTGGTTCTTCATTGAAATCAGTACGAGTTGGGTTTGTGATTGCTTCAGCCACTTGTGGAGCAGCGATTTGTGTTGATCCAGTACTGGTAGGTTCCTGTTGAATCTCAATACCTCCAACATTGACATTCGAACTTGATTCTTCCTTTTTTTTTCCAGACTTGGTTTGGGGTAGGATTGAGATTGGGTTTTACCATGCAACCTTTATCATTATGGCCGAAAACCTTGCATTTCTTACATCTAGGAGGCAACCATGGAGTTTTGAAAAAAATCGTAGTAGAAAGATCATCTTGAAGAACAACATCAATGTGTTTTGGGATTTCATCATTAATACCAATTTCTACGCAGATCTTAGCAAACTCTAATCTGGTTTTGGATGCGGTGACAGAATCCATTGAAATTGGAACTCCAATTCCACTGGCAATATAACTTAAACCCTCTTGAGTGAATAATTCTAAAGGAACATTATATAAATGAACCCAAATCGGAATTTTTGATAAGTCAAAATTTAGGCGTTTTAAGTTGGGTTCCCATTTCCTTAGAATCAATGGTTTGTTAACGACGTGCCAAGGGCCATTTTTGAGGACCCAATCCCTAGCTACTTCAGAAGTAAAAGAGAAGATGTATAAATTATTTCCATCTAAACTGACCTGAAGACGTGAACCTTGTAGAGCTTTCTTCCATTGATTTTCAACGATTCTTTGCATTGTCAGGAAGTTTGGCGTTGGTCTTAGGAATTGACCCACAAGAGAGATTCCATTCCAATATGCCATCTTCAAGGATCTCAGATGGAGGGGAAATCGTTGGGATTCCATTTTTGATTTTCGGAGGATAGAAATTTAGGGATTGGCCAGAGGAACTCCCAAATGGCTTTCTCCAATCCATCAAGAAAAAAGAGCACTTAAACAAACGGAGACAGGAAAGAAATCGTGATAACCAAGAACATGAGCTACGAGAACCACCAGAGGCACGGCGGGAATCTCCAAGACTGTTAGGTCTGCTAACGTGGAGATCTGGAGATCACCAGAATCTTCCGGAGAGATTTCTAATCTCTTCCTTATTTTGTTTCTCTGAACTTTGGTTTCATCTTTTGGGATGTTACATTGTATCCCATATCACAAAAATGATGTTGGCCCAGTAAGTTCCAAGACTTGGGTTTGAAGCCCGTTAAGTGCATCTCTTAAATTACTAATTTATCTCTAAATCTTAAATTAAATAAATTAAAAACAAAAATTCTCATAAAAATAAATAAATTAAATTAAAATGAAAATCAAATTAATGACTAAATTTAAAAGTATACAAATATTTTTTAACAATCTTGCCAGTTCTTTGTTAAATGTTAATAAACAAATGTTAACGGTTGAGATGATTAAAATAAAAATAGACAATTTTTTTTGAAATAGGTATGTAGATTGCGTAAATCATAATGAGCTTCATATAAAATAATACCATACATACATTCAGGACAATTATAAAAAATATAATAATGAGAAAAAGCATGAATAATTGAGGTAACGACATATAGAGATATATCACTCTGACGTCCTCGAGTACCAAACATAGAGAAAAACAACTTGAAGAATATCTAAAATTATTGAATGAAAAACCAATCTCCCCTTAACCATAATCACATCTCATCCAACACATATATTCAAAAGCCAATGAAATATCATATAAAAACGAGCACGCATCAAGAAAGCAAGCATTCGAGGAGGCTTATAGAACGATAGAATAAAAAAACCAATAAATAAATCTGCACTGGAGTTCAAAAGCATCGATTATCATGACACCCTTTATAAAAAAATGACCAAGAAAAACTATTATTAGAAA